ACCTTTTTCTTTGTTGTTGACTAACAGTTCTATTAGTAATTAATAATAATAATCTTTATATTTTTCGATTGATCATATGCTTCACTTTTATTTAGATAGATAACCATGTCAACAACGATGTTTATTTTCATCACTGACCAGAGAACAGTGTTTTCATATAACAATATCTTTTTTCAATAGTGACGTCAAACTGTTAAGTTAACAGGCGGCTTTGCATGATCTATTATCTTCAATATTTTACTGGCTGAACTTAACAGTGGCCTAATGGCTACAGCTGACCATATATCGATACACGATCAAAGTCCCGATAACTACACAGGGTATTTAAAAGTATTAACACGAATCAACACAATCACAATGGAGTTAAAGAGTGCTAAGTGCCTTAAGTACGACAAGTCTCCAAACATTGCTACTGACATAAGAGGGCTCGACCGATTTTTAAAAGGTGGTCTTCATCAAGGAAAAGTATACGAGCTGGTAGGCAAAGCAGGTTCCGGAAAAACACAACTATGGCAAGTCTCTTGATACTTATTGCTTTCAAAATTCACTAAGCAAGAGATTTTTTAGCATGAAGCTCTGCCTAAATATTCAGTTGCCCCAAAATGAGAATGGACCGGTGGCCAAAGCGATATATTTTGATACTCGAAAGGATTTTGATCCGGGCAGGCTGAAGGGTACGTAATTATTAGATCTATAACCGAGTAACATACATATGTTTTTCGGCATCTATACAGAATTGGCCGAAAAATTTGTAACACGCCCAAGCGTCAGACAAACGTCTCGATTACCACCCACAGCAACAGAGATGTTAAGAAATGTGTTTTATGTTCATTGTCACACTGCAGCCCAACTGGTAGCTGGCTTATTGAATTGCTACAAGTATTTGGCAAGGGAACCCAATGTACGCTATGAAATATTTGCAATGTGAAGAAGCTTGCTTACAAATTAGGTTTGCTTGCAGATTAAACTGATTATTGTTGACTCAATATCGTTTGCAATTCGAAGCTTGGAAAACATACTCGCACGCACGGAACTTTTGATGGAACTACATACAGTTATGCGTAAACTGCAGATGAAGTATAATTTGACCGTAAGTGCTGACACCTTAGCCTACATTTATAATGTTATAATAACATATTGCCTTGCAGTTCGTCTTAACAAACAATTTGGCTTGTCGCCGGAAAAGGCGACGTCGATTTGAATTGGAGGCGGTTTTAGGGCAAAAGCACGGTCAGATAATCAATAAGCGCATTTGGCTGATGAAAAATGGGTGTTTTTTGGGAAAAAGGTCAAACACAAAAAGGTTCATTTGCAAATTATCCACGTAGCGAATAATAATTAGATCAGATTAGAATATTAAGCAAAAGTTTAATTTAATTTTTGCTATCACGAAATTTAGTATGTTTACGTCATGTAACTTAGATTTGAAATATATAATTTGGTATTTTTTAGTGAATTTCTACTGGTCACACATTTTTGGGCGTTTAATGAAATATAACAAGTAATTGAAGTTCAGATATATTGCAAATAAGCCCATCCAGAGTAAAGATAAATACTATTCGAAATGGCACAGGCGAAGGCTTCGCAGCCAAAATTTCTGCCCCGTATTGAAAACAGTGCATCGGCGAGCACAAATACTTACGTTGCCACTGCCGGAGGAAATCCTTTTGAATCAGATGATGAAGAAATTTTCAGTAAACGAAAGATGACGCTCAATATACCGAGTAACTGCTCAGGGAGCTTGACAAACTTAATCGTTTCGAAGAATTGGCTGTTCTGTCTGCTGTCTGCAGAGGGACGATTAACTCTGCTACGCTTTTTTCTACCGCGTGCAATACCACCAGGCCGTGAGCGAACTGATTTTTATGCATTTTAATTACGTATGTACTACTGTAATTGGTAATTAATTACAGAGGCTGGATTGGAGAAATATTTAACTGGATATAAGATAACAAATATGTTTCTGGATAGTACTGGCCATCACCTAATTATTTCATTGGTGCCCAAGTCCCCGGGTGTATCATCCGACTTTTTGTATATACACAGCACCGAGACAACCATAGCACAACAATTAAAAGTGCGTCGAATCGAGAAGTTGAAAGACCACGAAATCACAGCAGTGGCTTTTAATATGTACCACGGCAATGAATCAACAACGGGCTTCATACTCCTAGGTACAAGTCGTGGCCTCATTTTTGAGATGGAGCTGGGGCCAGCTAACGATACGCAACGTAAACAGCTTTATGACTTAGGATTAGGTCTAAGCAAATATCCAATTAATGGGTTGGAGTTGCTACGAATGCCCAATAGCAATCGCTGGATAGTCGTTGCCACAACACCCGATTGTATTTACACATTCCAGGAAACACTCAAACAGGAAGAGCGTTGCCTACAGCCTATATTTGCAAGCTATGTAAATGGCGAACGGAATCCGCACTGTGAGAAGCACAAAACTGATTTGGGTTATTCAGTGCTACGATTCTTCGCCCCGCCCAATAGCAAATATCCAAAACAATGGGCGTGGCTTTGTGGCTCAGGTCTTCGAGTTGGAGAGGTAAGTGGTGAACTCTTATAAACTGAAACTAAACTTCTTTCTGATTATAGCTTTCAATAGATGCAAACGGAAGCAACGCGCTTCTAGGTGATACGTTGATAAATCTCGACTTTGAGAAGAGCAAACATATGTCTTATGATGAGCGACGTATAAATGTCCCCAAGTCTTTTGTTTTAACGGAGTACCATGCGGTTCTCCTCTACTCAGACTACATAAAAGCAATATGCTTGCTTAACCAGGAGATGATCTACCATGAGACATTTGATGAGCCCAGAGTGGGCAAGCTTTTGAATATGGAGCGGGATGCCGTGACCGGAGCCATTTATGTTTACACTGACAAAATTGTGTTCACGCTTCGTATTGTCCGTGAGGAGCGAAACATATGGCGCATATATTTAAATCGCGGCCAATATGAGTTAGCAACGGCGCATGCAGCCGAAGTTCCTGAAAATCTGCAATTGGTTTTGGAGCAGCGGGCCGAGGCTGCTTTCAAAGAGGGCTCTTACGAAGTCGCAGCCAATTACTATGCTGAAACCGACGAAGCATTCGAAACCGTATGCCTTAAATTTATGGTTCTGCCAGATAAGCGACCCATAGTTAACTACGTTAAGAAGCGACTGAACAAACTGACCACAAGTGCGGAGGTTAACCAAACTGATGCTGTAAAGGCTTTGATTATCTGGTTAATTGATCTATATCTTACACAAATCAATTTACCCGGCAAGGATGAAACTTGGCGGAATGAATGGCAAAGCGAGTACGATGAATTTATGCGTGAACCAACGGTTTTGACTATTACAAGAAATCATCGCACAGCGGTCCGACAATTGATTAACGAGCATGCGGATCCACATAATTTGGCACAGTTTGCCATCTCTATAGACGATTACGACGAGGTGATCGGGCAACAGTTAAATGCAGATCGGTATGAAATGGCATTGCAAACGTTGTGCAAGCAACGCGATCTTACACTATACTACAAATATGCACCTAAGCTTATGGAACGGCTGCCAAAGCAAACTATAGATGCCTTGATTGCTCAAGGTGCCAAATTAGAGATCGAGAAAGTAGTGCCTACTCTTGTGGTAATTGATACAAAAGAGCAGCGTGAACAAGTGATACGCTATCTTGAGTTTGCCGTCTACACATTAAACACTGTAAACGAAGCTATACACAACTTTCTCCTGCATCTATACGCGCAATACGATCCAAAGTTACTGATGAAATATCTAGAGATTCAGGGACGTGATGAATCCTTAGTACACTACGACATTCACTTTGCTTTGAAAGTGTGCACCGAGCTGGATGTAAAGGTAGCTTGTGTGTTTCTTCAGTGCATGCTCTGTATGTGGACAACTGCAGTCGACCTGGCCCTGGAATTCGATATGCAATTGGCCAAAGACACGGCGTCCAAGCCCCAGGACAGAGAGACAAGACGCAAATTGTGGCTAAGAATTGGTAAATTGTTAATCCAATTGTGCTTAAACAAAAAGCGAAAGTATATTAAAACTGTAATCTTGTAGCTTACCATGACATAAAGGGTACAAACGACGTGAAGAAGGCGTTGAGTTTATTAAAGCAATGCGACTTACTGCGAATTGAGGATCTGCTGCCCTTTTTCTCGGACTTTGAAAAGATTGATAACTTTAAAGAGGCTATTTGTGATGCTCTAAAGGTGAGGTTTTACTTTTACATTTTTCAAATTTGCTTATTAAGTTGAAATGAGTATTCCTACAGGACTATAATCAACGCATACAAGAGCTGCAGCGAGAAATGGCTGAGTCGAAGGAGCAGTCAGATCGGGTCTGCAAGGAGTTGCGTAAATTAAAAACACACAGCATTCGTATGGAGGCGCAAGACGCTTGCGATATATGTGATCTCATTTTGCTAGTTAAGCCGTTCTTTGTGTACATTTGCGGACATAAGTTTCACAGTGACTGCCTGGAGAAGCAGGTGATGCCCATGATCAGCAAAGATCAAAGTCGACGGCTAACGTTGCTCAAGCAGCAGCTGGAAGCGTTAATGGCACAAGCAATCGGCTCGTCGGATAACACAGCTGAGCAACTAAAGAAGCGCGCTGATCTCAAAACGGAGATCGAAGAAATCCTTGCCGCCGATTGTCTTTATTGTGGACTACTAATCGATACCATTGATCAGCCCTTCGTTGACGATTGGGATCAAGTCAACGTGGAGTGGGAATAGCAGAAGCATCTGTTATTAACATGGTGAACGTGTACATATAGTATTTAGACCATACATTTTGTTATCAATAAAATTACGTTATCTACTTTAGTAAAACATTGTATTTACGTTCTTCTTGAGTGAATTATATTATTGTATAATTATTTACAGGACAGTCTAAACATCTAGTTGCATACGTATTGCTGTTGATAATTTTGACGTCTTTGTTTTTTTTTTTTTTGTTTTTTTTTTAAGACTACATATAATTTCTAAGGGATTATGATACATAGGTAAAATCACGTTCTCGCATTTAACAGCTCAATCAGTCAATGATCTGCATCCTTAGCTCATTTGTAACAAAAGACATAATTGTATTGAGTACTGCCTGTTGAATGGATGCATTCTGCGTTATCAAAGGCACCAACATAACTAAATCCGTTGGTCGTACGTCGGCTACGGCTGTTGTCACATGTTGCACCAGCTGTTCGCGCTGTGAGTCAGTTAAGTCGTTCAATATAACTTCTCCCAGCGGCCTAAATGTACCTGTAATTTACATACATATGTACGTGAGCATAACAAAGACTAATATAACACGAATAAACTAACCACTGGTCATTTTATAGGCAGCGATTCCTCCTGCAGCGCCGCCAACAGCTAAGCCCACAGGACCCATCAATAGGCCGCCAGCAAAGCAGCAAGCAGCACAAATCGCTGTTCCTTTTCCTGATTGTTTTACTGCAACCCGAATATTTCGTTCATCGGCTATGATGGCAATGGCTTCCATTAGCTCGCGGGTATCAATTGGCATTTTAATTAATTCTTGTTTTCACTGTATAAAAAATAACTATAGGTTAAACTCAAATGCCTTAAAATATCCGTAATAGATTCGCTTATACTTCGGTGCAACATCTGATTCCACATCATGGTACAAAGAACAGCTACTTGCTTGTCTACTCGATCTTTAGAAAGAGATCGCAATATTAGAGTCAATCAAAATATGATTCATTAAATCCATCTTTACATTTGTATGAGGAGAGCAGATATATGAAATGAAACGCCAAACAAAAAAATACTGAATAAGTTCTTGTGCATAGTATTTTTTAGTACCATTTTGGTTTGCGTTTGTGTGCAAAACCACCCACGATTTGCTTGGAAAGCCTTTACACTGTTGCGTTCGTATTGTTGTCGATAACATACACTAATATCTGGTTTTTCTACATTTCTGATTAAAACATATACTTCTGTATATTTATTTAAGCAAATAATATATTGTTATTTAACGTACATATGTGCCTTACTGATGTGGCTGAGAATAGTTCTGCAATGTTGTATTTTTAGCATGCGCAGTCAGTTTAAAAGATAAAACCAAGTATAAAATGTGATCTGTTTTTCAAAAATAAATACGCTGATTTTCCAAATCGCAATTTCCGTTGATGCGTTACGCAGCAAATGCAATGATTGCCTTTAAAGATGTAAGTCACACGCGCATACGCGCTTACATATGTATATGTACATATGTATGTATATACATATATGCGTATATATGAATGGGCAAATTATACATACATATGTATGTATACAAATGTTCACTTATCTTGTTGTTGATTTTTTTTGTGTGCTTTAGCTTTATCAAAGGCATTTATTGAATATATTAAACGGCATCAAAGTGCGATCATATGCTTGAACTATTTGCTTTAGTACTTACATATGTATGTACATCTTTCGTACATAAAACCATGTATCATGGCATTAAGTTGGATTTTTTCTGCGAAATTGCAAAATTCACTCACATAGTATGATATGCTTACAATATGTACATATGTATGCATGTGTGTATGTAGATGTACATATGTATGTATGTATATGCATTTATGTTTACGTGCATGAGCGTGCGCCGCGAAAATATTTGATTACCAGAAATGTTCATATATACATATATGATAATATTTTATAAAATATGCCATAAAGTTCAATGTTTGTTCATGTTAAAAAAAATATTTTCAAATTAATTACAAAAGATATTTGTTTTTGCAATTATCTTAGGTGTGTAGCTCTAATCCATAAACCACGTACATATATGTACGTACATATGTATGTTATACATACATATGTATTTGTATGTATTTATTATCATATCCTATTTGAATAAAGCCTGCTGTGCCTGAAACTTGGGATTCGGCTGGGTGGTTTAAGGACTACATTGACCCTCGCCCCTTAACCTCCACTTAAATTAATGGCCGTAACAGCAGGCCAAGCCTTCGTCTTATCGAATTACAGCTGCGCGCTAATTATCTCTGTCAATATTGAGGGCGTACACTGTCAATATTTGCATGCATACATATTGTTTTTGGTTCCCGTTTTGGCTATCCGCTATCAGCAGATAATTATTATTTGAATTCTATTTTTACAGTTGGTTCTAATCGTAATGTTTGCTCACGCATGCGCGCGTCCGGAAGAGCTAGCAGCAGGAACAGTTCCGCCACAGTCCTTGGCTGCAACACCCGCAGCACCGTCGGCGCAGTTGGTAACGCACTCGATGGAGATGTCTGTCAGTACACCGCCACCCATACCGCATCAAGTGGTCATCGAGAGGCAAATTGAAGTTGAGAAAGCGGATTCCGTGCCCGCTGTAACACCAGTGGCTAGCACAACCGCTGTAGCGCCGTCGGCTACAGTCTCCTCTGAATTACCGGACTATTTAAAGAATTGTTTTTACGCAGAAGAAGAGTTGTGTCTTAACTGGCGGCGCCACAATGGCAGCGATGAGCCACCCGTGCTCGATCGCTTGGATATCTCCGGCGTTAAGTTAGATGATGGTGAAGAAAATATGTCGGACAATATGACTGCGATTAGTGCACAAAACGACAGTCTATTGCAGTCCCAGAATCTCCAAGCTCGTGATCGCGATGCGAACAGCTGTCAGTGCCGAGAGCATCCGACTCGAGCCAACTCGTGGTACTGTTGCAACATTACGCACATTTCGATGATCTCAAGTTGCAGTAACATATCCAAGTGGACGAATCTGCATGTGCGTAACCTCAGCGTACAGGCCATGAACCTTTCCAATCCGATATATCGATCGCTGCAGTCGCTCGCTGTTACTGATGGAAATATTATGCAATTAACAAATGCCTTTCCGCGTCATTCAAAGTTGAAGTGCCTTAACATATCGAATAATAATATATCAGACATCGCATCGCGTGCCGTAAAGGATGTGCCTCAACTGGAGTTTTTCGGAATATCGAAAAATCTGCTGTCCCGTGTTCCGAACCGCAACCAGAACAAACACATAGCTTTAGATATTAGGTAAGCTTCTCGTTTTACAAATTATTAAAATTACAAAGAACTATTTTCTTTAGTGGGAACATGCGTTTGCTCTGTGAGCCTCTAAACGAGATTATTTACGGTGATTCATTTAACTTTGTAAATCCGGAAAACTCTTTTTGCTTATATAATGCGACACACAAGTGGTTCAACTCAACAAATTTAGTGTCGGTCAAACAGCTTGAGAGTATCAAAAAGTGTGGTACCAAGTGCCCAGTTATTCCGAACTATGGGAACTGCTCTTGTAACATATATAATATGATGATAATACAGGGTGATCAATCTCGTACCGTTTGCCATGTGGATTGTTCAAACCTTGGCCTGCTTGAGCTCCCATCTTTGCTGCCGGATAATACGTTCACTCTAAACATAAGCAACAATAAAATAAGCACTCTTGGCGATCACTTCCACACGAATCCCACCTATTACAATATTGTCAAGTTGGACGCCGATAACAATCACATATCATCCATTTACGAATTTGAGGGCACAAAGTTTATTGAGCAATTTCAACGCCTTTATATGCGCAACAATTCACTGACAAAGGTAAGTATATAATACATATTTAAAGAATACATTACACATATTGAATTTTTTGAATTTTTTAGATTCCCGAATACTTTTTGAACAATGCTCTTATGGATACTGGCATTGGACGTCGTATTTATCTAGCAGAGAATCGACTTCAATGTGATTGTAACTCGGCAAAAACGCTGCAAAACTGGCTAAGAGAGCGCAGCACAGATATACCGGACTATATGGATATTAGATGCCGCAACTTACCTCAGAGTGTTATTGAATTACAAGAGACAAAGCTATGCCAATCGCCTCCGGATTGGACTGACTACATATACTATCTAATAGCCGCAGAGGTAATTCTCTTACTAGCCCTGATCACGAAAGTTTCGTACGACTATTGGGTCTTTAAAACCGCTGGTTATCTGCCATGGCCAGCTAGCAAAATGCCAAAACTGCCTTGCGACTGTCTTTGTGAATCATAGATAAGCTAAAGTGTGGAGCTCGTCCACAAATTTATATAGTTAATACATACATACATCTTTTTGTTTTAAGCGAGTGTCGAAGTACATTTGAGTACATTGAGATTAGCTATAAAGCCACATTTAAAAGGAATCGAAGTAAATGGAAAGTAACATATCCAATTGTCACCTAACCATGACAGATCACAATGTATATCAATGTTATTGTGCCTTTTATAGACTGTGTATCTATTGTAATGGAATGCTATGTATATGCATGGAATGCTATGTATATGATTGTAGATTGATGTTAATCGTGAATAATATAGAAACTGCTATCGAACATGATACTGTTATATTGCTAAACGTACATCTAGAATATATATATATATATATATATATTTAATATATTTTTTATTGTAAAATTTAGATCTTGGATGAAAACGGCGGAAATCAATTTGCATATGATATCTTTATTGTTTGTGGTTTCTTTCAATTTAATTTTATAATATTACAATAATATTAAAGACAAAAAAAAAATGCGCCTCTGTTATGTTTACATCTTTATGCATGACGATTTTCGATATTGATTTTATTATTATCATTGTTATTAATGTTTATAATGCCTAATGTCATGTACGTTTTCAGTTTTCACTATAAGTTTTGCAATCGACTGTGTGTTTACTGTGCCTTATAAGAAAAACATTTACGTATTCATACAATACACGCATACAGTTGCATATTACAATATTTTAAAATAGTTTGCTATAAGTAGTATATTATAAATATTATTATGTTTGCAGCTTTATAGTAGTTAAATACTTTCACATATGTAGCTTCGTACTTCTTATCGCTGTAATCAAAATTCTTATTATTTTCGTTGTATCTATGACAAATAATTTCGAATTAAACAATAACAAAACAAAAACAAAGTGCCTTCTATTATCATAAATAGTATGTATTAATGTGTATAAACTTTTTGAGCGCATCGTTTCTCCCTTCCTTCTTTTATCCGTTATATTAAATAATTCAAAACTCAATTAAATATTTCGTACAGTGATGTGTAATATATTATATATTAATTATCGTTACAACGATAGTACATATTCAAATTTAAGATATATATGTACCTTTACACTATTTCACATTTTGCTTTTATTTGAAACAGTGTGAGTTGATTTTGACGTACCGAAGTGAAATCGATCAATATCGATATATGCATTGATGAACCAGGATATACATTTAACGACTTTTTACAAAATATTTCACTTAATTAAAAACAAAGTAAATATATATTTATATCTATATAACTACATATATGGTGTACGGGTGAAATATTAAATTAAATGTATAATTTGAGACTTTTCAAATATGGTTTAAAAGTTTGTATGGTATATACAAAATTCGTTTGTTATAAAGTAAAATCATTCCGATTTGCTAAAAACTTGTGTAAAACCTATATGTATCTAAAAAACCTTAGCTAGGAAGTGCTGTGCAATAAAAAGATATCAAATATATGACTTTTAACTACAATCGATCATCAAGAAGTAAATCAATGTATACCCCCAATCCCATTTTATGGGATGTACAGATCAGCTATAACACATATATTTTCGGAAGTCCGAAAATGACTCTTCCCAAAAATCAAATATTGTTAACCAAAACGTTGGGCTTTCGAAAACAAACAGCATGCAGTAAATGTCGTCTTTGTTTTTACTTATTTTTGGAAAGAATTTACCGTGTACTGGAATAAAATTAGCTAGTTTTATTTTCTAAGAAATATTTTCGTACTTATTGTTGAAGATCATTCTTCACTTTTTTGATGACCTAAATATATAGAACTATCAGTCTCACGTCCCATACCAAAGAACAAAAAAAAAAAAAGATAAAATGAGACATATATGAAAGTAAACTTGATCAAAAAATTAAAGAAGTCAAACAGCTTAAGTATTTGCCTCTCATTCATTGTTCTCCATATACGACCACCAACCATAGAACACACATTACACATGCATTCTTTGCTTAGTGGGATGGCCGCTGTTTTTGCTTCAACTTGTAGTGGCCTGATATATGTGTTGTGTGGCTAGTGGTGGAAGATAGGCAATTTAATTCAATTCATGTGTTGGTATCTCTTAATAACTACTCTAATAATGATTAATGTTGGCATGTTGCTCAAAATATTTTGAGCAGGGACAAAACAGCTTAGTACATACATTTGTTCGATGTACATCTACATCACGATGGAGCTACATCGCATATTTTTGTTTTTGGTTTTCTCATATAATTTTTGATTTTCGTTCGGCAATACATATGTATATGTAGCCTGGCACACAAACGTATTATGGAATATATATAAGACATTTAGATTTAACACGTATGGGAGTACGTCTTAGTTGCTTAACATTCTTAACAATCCTATTATTCAAGTGCTACAGAGCCGAAGGCTTTTAGTCTTCGTATGTAATTCGTCTGATGTCTGTGTTGGGCGAGGATGACATATAGAGTGTGTGAGAAAGAGAGAGAGAGAGAGAGAGAGAGAGAGAGAGAGAGAAGGATTGAAAAGAGAAAGAGTGTAATACAGATCAGAGCTGAAATTCATGCATATGACAGAGAAACATATACAATAGTGATAAGGATTGAGAGTGGAAGAGGGATAGTGAGATTGAGATATACTACGCTGCAGTTTGTGCGACGTGTCAGAGACACATATACATATGTGTATAGTATATAGTATGTATAATGATGCTACAGTTAAATATCAATTTTCGTTTCGCTCCACGCCAATTTCCAATTGTGTTAGAGGATCTCCGTCTCGTACACCTGTTTGGTGGTCATTGCGGTGTTTGCAGCAGCAGCAACAGCAGCAGTAGCAGTAGCAGCAGCTCCTGCATTTGTACCACCACCAACAACGCCGCCAACCACACCACCCGTAGCATCACTGTTCAATACACCATTTGTACCCGCTGCATTCTCAGCAGCTCCTGCCGCCGCCGCTGCTGCAGCCGGATCACTGCCCATGGATTCACAGGCCAACAAATTGATTGCGGCTATTTTCTGCTGTATATTCGATTCGTTGCCGGGATGCGGGGGCCCGGATATGTCAACCGAAGGTATCTTGCTCATTTGCTGTAAGCGTTGGTATTGCTCCTGCAATAGCTTTTGTTTCTTCAATAACTCCTGGTGGCGCATCTCAAGTGCCACCTGCCGCTGCGCGTGATCGTTGCCAGACTCATTGCCACTGGAGTTGTCGCCGCTTGAAGTGTCACCACTACCGATGACGATAGTCTCGATGCTCATCATATTATTGTCAACCATGTTGGCAGCGGCGGCGGTAGCAGCACCGGCTGTGGCAGCGGCTATGTTTTGTGGCATATTCGGGCTTGTCGGACTGGCCAGTGGACTACGTGAGCTGGTACGCGGCGGCGGTGGTGGCGGTATGCGCTTGTGACCTACTCTTGTTATCAAATCGGCATTGCGTTCGGGCACTGGTGGTTTATTGTTGTTGCTGCTGACGTTGACACCACCAACACCAACACCACCGCCGCCGCCACCACCACCACCACCTCCACCGTTAGCGAGTGGGGGTGGAAGCTCGTTGTCAGATTCGCTGGGAAATGAATGCAGGCGTCGCAAGCTTCCTATGTTGGTATGCACCATCAGCTGCTGTTGCGACTGCTGATGGGTCAATGCACCACGCGACAAATGCGTTGTTGCCCCGCTAGAAACGGCCATGACCATGCTGTTGGTGGTCGCCTGTTGCATATTGACGACGTTCGCCTCTGTCAGCAGGCGTGCCTGAGATATTTGCGTGGTGACGGTGCTCTGTATCGCTGCCTGAGCACTTTCATCAGATGTCGAATCTTCAGGGCGTACCTGTGATGCATACATTCGTGATATATGTATATGTATATATGTGAGTATGTCAAAATGGAAATTTATCTATCTATATTTGGAGCCCAATAATTTACCTCAAATGGTGGCTTTTGTTGTTGTTGTTGCTGCTGTTGCTGCATTTGTTGTTGCTGCTGCAACTGCTGCTGCTGCTGTTGTTGTTGGGCAATTGGCTTTGAAAATGTCTTTAACTCGTCTAGCAGAGCATCGAGTGCGTTTTCGGGTGCGATTCCCCCGCCGACAGGGAACGACCCCATCCTGGGTGTTGGGATTGGCTATAAAGAATACACAATTACAGTAAAATTGTAAATCGATGCAAAATGTTGTCAACAATTTGTGAAGTTAAATGAAGTTTAATAAAAAAACATTGCACATTTATACATATAAATGTATACCATCGTATATATATAATTAATTATGTGGTACTGTATTGTAGAATTAATACATTGTATGAAAACCCATCTAGTGAGACAGGCTATAGCATAAAACAAAAATATTTTCATAGTCAATATAGAGTGTGTATAAGAAAAAAAATAAATCATGCTGTGTATAGTAATAACGTACATATATGTTTTTAGGATATATAGAGAAAGTCTGCCACAACAATCAGAATAAGAAAACATTCAGGCAAATACAAAATCAAAACAAAAAGCAACGCTATGACACCCGGGGACAGTTTGAACTCAAAATTATAAATAAAAAGATTTAGGAAATGTGAACAGGGTTGTTTACTCCAGTTGGTCATACTCCACTGGAGGATCCCTTGCGCCCCTTGTAAACCTGATTATAATTGCTGCAACATTTGACATAGCATCCCGGCAAGATATTTAGCGTATTTTCAAGTCGTTCACTTCCTGTCGGAAGTGCTCTAGCAAGGGACATCTTTAGGCATGTTTGTCATATTGTAATGTTCGTATGTTAAAATTGAAGGATAAACATAGCTACATATATGAAGGTATAGGCCTGTCTAAAAATATGTATAGTTGAAGGTAAATGATAATTGCTTCAAAGGCACCTCACCCATAACACGTTTCGTATTATTCAACCTAATTATTTCAGTTTCGAATGACTTGGTATTTTTAATTTAAATGTTTTTTCTTAATTTGTTTGGCTTAACCATGACATGCAAAAATAAGAAACAAAGGCATAAATTTCAAGGCTTTCTGTTTCTGCTAGTAATAATAAAAATATAACAAAAAGTAATAGTGAATATTTTGAACGGTGTTTCTCTAACTACTTCAATTGCATGCAATGCATTAGAGGGTATGTTTGCTCAAATAACTTTTGCACAATTCATAGTTTGTAATTCGATTTCTAATTATCTCATTTATTAAAAAAAATAAAAAAATAAACAAAAAGAACAATGAGTTACATGGGAGATTTTACCATAAGCTCTTATGAACTTTAGGTATATGTATCTATATATGTATATATATATATATATATATATATATATATATATATATATATCAGTATCTGTATCTATATGTGT